ATGGCAAAGGATTTGCAGTGATGACACACAATACAAATAACACAGTGGCTGTGGTTGTTGTGGGGTGTGCATGCATCGCTTTAGCAGGCATCGTAATGACAACATGCAGCTGGCCTCTCTCCAGAAATTCCAGAAAAGAACAAAAGCAATTATGAGCCATGTTAAAGCCACTCAGCTTCTGTCCTCAAAAGGAAGAAGAAAGGAAAGAATAAAATTGATTGTTACTTCAGTAATTTTTAAAAATTTTACTAAGAATAAAAATATTCATTAAAAATAAATGATTGAAGATAATAAAGTAACCAGAAGTGTAGTTTGTCTATTTGATCAGGACATCTTTTAGATTTGAATCCAAAAAATTGAAGATTATAAAGAGGTCTTTTTAGAAAGAAAAAAAAAAGTATATATGAGTGAGACTAGGCTGTTAGGTCAGTCTTGCTTATCAAAGGAACCAGATAAGTTCAAATCTTTTCATTTTTAATAGCCCAAAAGAATTGGAGTGCATCTCTATGGCCAAAATAAATAGAAGAAAGAAGAAACTTTATTAAGATATGAAAGCAATTGCTGTCAGTGAATTCCTACCACTGCAGATTCTTTTGAGACAGGTTCCAAACTCAGATGTAAGTGACAAGAACATGGAAGCTACAGGCACATGCCTGGAATACTAAACAAGCAAGACTTAGAACTTGGTTTTCAAATGGATGAGGACTTAGGACATCTTTCTGGTCCTCTTCCTTGTGGCCTGCTGGAGACTCCTCTACCCTCTCCAGCTAGTAAAAGGAATTGGCCAGTGTTCAGAATCCTCTAACACATGAAAGAGCAAAAAACTTATCCCAATCAGGAAAACTTTCAAATTTCAGATGTGTACGTGCTTTTAAAAATATCAAACACCAGAAGCAGCAGAAATATAGCTGTCAAATGATAGCTCAGAAATAGAGATGGATTAGGCAGTTTCCTGTGACAAAAAGTGCCTTCTGTAACTTCCCATTTTTTGTTTTTTCCTCTCAGCTCCTTTAATGGCTATATCACTTTGTACCTTTTTCATTTATATCCACAAGCCCACTTCATGTCTTTGGCTTACAAAAATATGACAGTTTCTTAGGCATCAAGATTGTATTTTGTTTCAGAAGCTGGCAAAGATTAAAGATGTGTAGAAGCTTAGCTTATAAATCAGAGCCTATGATTTCAGTTATCTATAAAACTGCAAGATTTAAACAGGATTAAGTCTGTAAGAATTTTTAAAGTATACTAAATGTGATAATATTATGAACAAACCAAGATGACTTAATATAGTTTATATAACTCAATCCACAAAGTAGATTTTTAAAAAATTAAATAATGTAAGTCAAATAAGTTTGGAAGAAGGTATGGCAGAAGATATATTGGGCCATTAAAATTGTTTATGGTAAGATAGGAATTGAGGGGAAGGCATTAACTTTGTATTACATATATTTGAATTGCTTTTCTTATTGTAGTGAGCATATCTTATTTTTATAAGTAAAGCAAGAATCCCATAATTAAAATCTAAACAAAAAGGGGAAGTAGTCATAAAACCTGGACTACTGTAGCTTATACTTATACTTAAGGAGGCCCGATACACAAAGATTCATGCAAGAATGGGCATACTTTCCCTGGCTGCGGCACCGCCTTAGCTCAGGCTGGAGCCACCTTTCTGCCTTCCCACACTGCCCAGAGGCACGGAGTTGCTGGGGCAGTGCAAAACATCTGTGTCATCACCATGGTGACAACACAAGCATCCCATCCCGCTTCCCCCCCAATTGGCATCTGTGTATGCAAATTAACCCACTATCTTTGGTGGGTTAATTTGCATACCCATTCCTGATTGGCTGGTGGGCATCACAAAGGTGCTGTCAATTTGCATATTTCTCTTTTATTAGTGTAGATTTTATCCTCCCTCCTTTTTACCCTCTAGGTTCCAAAATACCTAGAAATTTTCAACTACAAGAAGAAAGCAGAGATGGAGAGGCAGAAGGAGCTGGGAATGAATGAACAAAGAACTTTTATCCCTGGATTTTCTTTAAGCTTCTCCCCCAAGAAGTTCACATTGTTTCACTGATAACATAACACTTCTCTTACAGGATGTCAGAACTGTGACTTCAAAAGGAAAGAAGGGACCAGAGGGGACCGGACACTTGGGACATGCTCAGGGGACATTGCTGTATACTGAGCTCAGACAGAAACATGAAGCAAAACAGGCTGCAGGAGCTTGTGGGGTGAATGGTGATCCCAAGAGCAAAGGGACTAATGATTTCGTGTCTGGTGTGGTTGCTGAGCTGGTCCTCACACCTGTTAGCCACAGGGTCAGCGTAGGAGGGGTCAGCACACAGGCCCTGCCCTCTGTCCTCTTCAGCAGCTGTTTAAACGCCCAGGAAATTCCAGTATAATCCTTGCTCAGCTTAATGCTGCAGCCTCTCCCCTTTCATCTCTACCTTGGACCTGGTCTCAATCACCCTCTCTTCGAGCTCTGGCCTCCTGCCTTGTAAGGGATCCCATTGGCCTTTAAGGCAGCAGACAGTGAGAAGATGGCTGTCCTCCAGAGCTCCAGCCTCGCTGCCCTGGCTGGAGAAGCCAATTTGTGGATTACCTAGCAGAGGACAGTCCTGTGTCCTTTGAGGCCTCCAGCCCTGAGAATGTCCCCTAGAGCACGAAGACGCAGATGACTGTGCCTCCCACTGTGGAGCTGGGGGAGGCTCTTCAGATGCAGGCAGTGTCTGGATTTAGCCAGATGGCCACTTAGAATGAGCCTTTCTGGCTGTGCACTGACTGGGGACATGCATGGCTCTGGAAAAGAGCATAAGAGAGAGTGTTGGGGCAATGGTATGTGTGCACAGGGATGAGTAAGTGGAAATTGTGGCAGAAAGCACACGAGTGCCAGGATCAGTGCCTGTAAGAGCAAGTGTAAGGGAGTGTGTATGAGGTGAGATGGGTGTGGATGGTAGGTGCTGGGAGGTGTGCATGACAGTGTGTGTGTGTGTGTGTGTGTGTGTGTATGTGTGTGTGTGTGTGTACATGCCCATGAGTGCAGATGGGGCCTTCAGATGCCCATGAGCCCTAGTCTGCCTATGAACTGCTCTCTGCCCCAGGAGTTGCTTCTGTGGAAACATGTGGGCCGGGAGAGGGACATAAGCAGGGAAACAGAGAAAGGGAAACCAGAGATGGCCAATCCCCTTCCTCCCAGCTCTGCTCCTCCTTCCTTCCACCTAGTAAGGAGTGCAGTGTGGACACAGGGCCCAGCTCAGGAGATGGTGATGAGCTGGGAGAGAGAACAGCTGCCCCAGAGTAGGCATGGCCCTGCCCTTCCCATGTTCAGCCATGGCTGCCTGTTGCTCCCCAGCATCCTGGTGACACAGCTATCATTGCCAGCCATCTTCTTGCACACTAAATGAACCAAAAGACCCCAAGGGAGTCCTCACTGCCCTAGGCCACTAGGTAGGAACAGAGGAACCCTCGCCCTAATGTTCCTGTGACAAAAAAGGTCCTTTGCCCTGAAGCAGCCAAGTGGCCCCTCCGAACAGCTCTCAGTACGGCTCAATCCCCCAGTGTCCCATTACTTGGACAGTTTCCCACAGTCCACAGCCCCTTTCCCACTGAACCAGCATCTCCCCTTCCCGAGCCTGAGTCAAATTCCCCTGGCAGCGGAGGGCCTGGCCCAGGTTAACTGATTGGGAACAGGCCCAGCAGCTTTTCCCCATGGGCACTGCCAGGGACATTACAACATCTAGGCTAGGCTGGGCCCACGCCAACTCCCCCAGGGATGGGAGGAGAGAGGGTACCAGACAGCCAAGATCGGTGGGTGGTGGCCAGCCAGGCCAAGCTCCCAGACGGAAAGAGAGGGGGGCGGGGCTGGGGCAGCAGCAAGCAGTAGACTTTGGTGCCACTTGGGGTCTCTGGGCTGGGGAGCAGGAACCAAGCCTTAGCCATCGCAAGGCTTACCTATTGGTGGTGATTCCGTGGGTTGGGGAGCGGAGAGCTGTGGGGAGCTGGGGGCAGGTGTGGGATTAACCTCCTTGCTCCTCCCAGCTCCACCGGGATTGGAGAGATGCCACTGGAGGGGTGGGCAAACCTCTAGAAGGCTGGGAGCCCCGGCTCTGAGAGGACCCCTAAAGCAGGACCCCCAAGTGAGGGAGGAGAGTCTGCAAACACAGTGGGGATGGTAGTAGCAACTAGGGCGATGGGGGTGTCCATGAGGCTACTTAAGAGGGCAAGGGAGCCAGGTGGGCTAATTCCTCATCCCCTCGCGAACTTGGCTCTCGCCTAGGGAGTGGGACTCGGCACCCCCCCCCCCCCCCCCAGGAGGCCTCCCGAACATCTGCAGAGGCCCCGACTGAAGGGACCCTCTATTTTGCAAACCTTCATTCCCCTGTCCCCAGGCACGACTCCCACCCTCCACAACCGCCGACGACGACCCTGGGGCTTACCTTTCGCAGGCCGCAGGCTCCGCAGGTCCGGCCCCCCAAGGCCCGGCGTCCGCCCGGCGCCGCCCGCGCCTCCGCCCGGGTGCGTGGACCCCGCTCTCCGCGGCCCGGGTGCGCCCGCGCGCCGCGTCCCCGGGGCTCGGGGCAGCCGGGGGGCGGGCGCTGGCGGCGGGGCTGCTGCTCCGAGGGGGCGGGGGGCACCGGGGTTCGTGGCGGGAGGAGGGCCCAGTGGCGCTCGCTGTTGCCCAGCTGGGTCGCGGGTCCCGCCGCCCGCAGCTCCGCTCCCAAGAGGCGGCGGGAGCAGGCGCAGCCCAGCCCGCCCCTCCGCGTCCCTCCCAGCCAGGCCCGCCCCCCTCCGGCCCCGGAGGCCGCCCGCGCTCCCCTCTGCCCGGAGCCCAGCCCGCCCTCCCGGCCCGGCGGGGAGCGCGGGGAGCGCGGGGCGGAGGGACGTGGGCTGGGAGGGCGGCCCGCGCGAGGGGCCTGGCGGAGGCGGGGATCCGAGCACCTGGAAGATGCGTTCAAACCCCGGGGACAGAGGGGGACCGAAGGGGCCCGGGCCCCGGGAGATGGGGGGCGGGTGGAGGGGACGGGCAGGGAGGCAACCTGGGCAGACCGCCGTGCCCTCTCCCCTTCCCTGCTTCTCTGTTGCAACTCTAGGAACTAAACCCTAACCCCCCTGTCTCAGTTCCTGCTCAGGTTTGAACTCAGGTGGGCGTGATCTGAGGGAGGAAGAAAAGGAAAGGAAAAGCCGGGGGTGGAGGAAAAGACAAACAGAAATCTCAGAGGGTACAGGGTTTGGAGTGCCTAGGCAGCCAGGGAAGGGGCGCGTGGGCACGCATGTGCCTGGGATCCAGCCTTTGAATTCCTCTCCCTGCTTGTGACCCCGGATCGGGATCGTTGTCATGGTTGGGGCTTCACACTCTGCCCTCCCCAAAGGGCAGGGAAGCCTCGGTCTTATGGGAAGTCCTGAAGTCGGTTCCCGGCTTTGCAGGGCCGGGCAAGTCGCTACGCCTCTGGGTGCCGCCTCCCTTTGCCCGCTCCCCAGAGAGAACCGCCCCCAGGGGATGAGAAGCGATGGAAGGGACTCAGCGAGTTCTTGGCTGGAAGGGGTGAGGAACAGAGAGGTGTTCCCGCCCACCCCCTCGCCTCTGCCCAAACCCTGGGCAGCCATAGGGGTCTATTGTTTGGGTTCCGCAGCTCTACACTGGGGACCTCCGGCGAGGTGTTGCTACCACCTGCTGGTTTCTTCAAGGATCACAGGCACCTGGTGGAATTCGCTCTGGCCTTTTTTCTTCCCCCCCCCCCCCCCCCCCCCTCGTCATCCTGTCCCATATTATTCACCAAAAGTTCTTCTCGGTCAAGACACTTCTAAGTTTATTAAAGCACTAGTCGCAAATGGGCTGGTCCAAACTGGTGCTGAAGGAGCCGTCAGAAACCGAGGAAAATTGTGAAAGGGATCTGTGAGCCAACAAGCCCAATAAACAAAACAATGAGACTCATTAGGAGGCACCTGGGAGAAACAAACAGGCGTTAATGAATTGACTGAATGAGTGATAGAAGGGAAGATAAAGGTGGCTGAGCAAGTCCCCGCTTGGCGAGGCGGCGAGTGTTCACTCCCAATATCTGGAGTTAATTAATGAACCTAACGATGTGGGATGACTCTGCACTTGAATAATAAGTAATAAGCCCACTTGCACTGGTGCCTCTTGCACGCCTGCTTCTTCCCTTTGTTCTGAGACTCCTTGGTGGAGAATTGACTTCATTTCTGAATGTTATCTCCAAGGCTTTGACAGAATTTTGTGAAACGTGAATTTCCATTATATGTGGTTTTATGCAACTCATGATCCTTGATGTATTAACAATGTGACTGATTGCCAGGAAGCTATGGGCATATTGGAAACATTGTTTTAAAGCATGCAATTAAGTTATGTTCAAAAAATAAAAGCACTGACCAAACCAAAACATAGACATTACTTTATAAAACCCAGACCCTCCAGTAGTAATTTGCAACACATCATGTACTGACATTTTAGTAAAAATGGCTGTATTCCTTTCTTTTGTCTGACATGCCTTATTGTGTATACTGCCCATTAGGTGCCTATAACATGAAATTAAGTTTTTGTTGTCCAAGGCTTAATTAGTTATTTTTCTTCGGCTGATAAAATTTGAGAGGCATCCAGTTTTCAAAGAAAGCTACATTGTATTCTGGAGGTAAAGAGGTTTAAATTTGCAATTATAATTGGCCCTGTATCATACTTTCCTATGTTATCAAAGTGGGTTTGAAAGGTAGGTGGATAGCACAGAATGAATTAGTAAGTTATGCTGCTCTCTGCAGCTATTAAAAAGCCAAGTAATGAATTCCTTGTTCAGGTTGAACATAAATTTTTGGTACAATTTGTTCAGTAACTGGCACCTATTATGTACTTAGAAGTGTCAGAGAATAAGTAAATAAAATATAACAATATTGAAAGGCAGGACAAAGTTTGTGGCTCACAGAATTCATTGTCTTGGGATGCAACCACCTATAATGTAAATTTGGAGCCATAAAGAAGCTCATGTGCAGAAAAACTCCAGGTGGTTTGGGATATCTCTGATTGGTTCTGCTTCTTTTTTTCTTTCTTTTTTTCCTGTTTTTTGCCTCCTTGGGCTTTTCTCTTTCAGTATACATCCCTCCCCAGGGTGTGCAATTGCCTTCTTCCTTATTTCCCTTAAGAATGGCTAATGTAAGCTGATGTTATTATAAACATGAAACTTTATAAGTAACTTTAGTGATAAGCTTTCTAATAAAATGCAATAAAGGAATTTGCTAAGCCCCCAGATATCTCATTCCATAACATTCATTGTATCTTCAGATGTACAACCTCGCAGGGGTCCAGGCCTTTACCTAGGGCCTTTAGGCCATGCCTGACTTCCCAAAAGTTGGAGTCTGATCTTCAAGCATTTTGTCCAATAAAAGTGTTAGATGCTCATTTATACAAGAGAACGTTTTTGGTTTTTTTCTTCCTGTTTTGAAGCTTCTAGACTCTAGAAGCTAGAGCATATTCTAGTGTTCTCCTATAAGTACTGGTTTGTTTTGAAGACAAACTTAGTTTGCCTCTGATTTGTAGACCAATAGCGATTGATATCCTGGATGCTTGATGAACATGAGTGATCTTTGAATTGACCCAGGAGAGGCTACGTTTTGACATGACTTTAACCAAGCAATAAGGAAAAGACATTCGGAAGTATTAGTGCACAGAGAGACAGAGGAAAGCTCTTCTCTCATAACAGAATGTTTTATCAATTCAACATTGACAGTCAGCTGCATGTAACAAAAGTTGTACAACAGTGGTTTCAGCAAACTGAGTAACTTAGAACTGCTATGGAAGCCCAGGTCTGAGACTGAGGTTTCTGCTCTCCTTCTTTAGGGTGAGGCCTTGTTCCCTGGTTTTCAGCTTGTCAGCCAGAATTCCAGCTGTAATGTCTGTTAGGTTCACTCAAGAAAAAGGAGAGAGGCACAGAATATAGGACAAAGTTTCAGCTTAGTTGGCACCCTTTATTTTTTTATTTTTTTATTTTATTTTATTTTTTTAAGAGAGGAAGGGCTAGGGATAGAGAGCTAGAAACATCGATGAGAGAGAATCATCGACCAGCTGCCTCCTGCACACCCCGCATTGGGGATGTGCCCTCAACCAAGGTACATGCCCTTGACCAAAATTGAACCTGGGACCCTTCAGTCTGCAGGTTGACGCTCTATCCACTGAGCCAAACTGGTTTCTGCAGTTGGCACCCTTTAAAAAGCCTTTCTGGGAGCTCTACCCTGTGACATATCCTATCTAATAAAAGAGTAATGTGCAAATTAACCACCACATTCTGCTACACCCACAAGCCACGCCCACCATCCAATCAGGAATGAGTATGCATATTAACCAACCAAGATGACTCTGGCCACAGAGAGAGTAAGAGGCATGGGTTCTCCCCCCCCCCCCAGTGGAGGAAGCCAAGCTTTCTGCACATCCTGACAGGCACAGGACTCCACTCAAAGCTACAAAGTTTCAATTATAGAAGATAAATAAATCCCAACAAAAATGGTTGCAGCCATGGAGCAAGCAGGAGGCTTGGCTCTGCTCAAGGCTACAAAATTTCAATTGTAGAAATAAATAAATCCCAGATACCAGGCCCATTGCTTGGGTCCTCAGGTGGGGGGGGGGGGGGGCATGGCTGGCCTGAAAACCACCACAGGCCTCTCACCCAGCCCACCCCATGTCTGCCAAGGGAACTCACACCCTGATCCAGACACCCTTCAGGGCAAACTAGCTGGCCCCAACCCGGGCACCAGCCTCTGTCCTATCTAATAAAAGAGAAATATGCAAATTGACCATCACTCCAACACACAAGATAGCTGTGCCTATGTGGTCAAAGATCCTGCCCCTATGTGGACACAAGATGGCCACCATAAGATGGCCAGCAGGGGAGGGCAGTTGTGAGGGATCAGGCCTGCAAGGGAGGGCAGTTGGGGGTGATCAAGTCTTCAGGGGAGGGCAGTTAAGGGTGACGAGCTGGCAGAGGAGGGAAGATGGGGGCAACCTGGACCTGAAGGGAAAAGCAGTTGGGGGGATCCAGGCCTGCAAGGGAAGGCAATTAGGAGCAAACAGGCTGGCAGGGGAGCAGTTAGACTCAATGAGGCTGGCAGGGGAGTCATTAGGGGGTAATCAGGCTGGCAGGCAGAAGCAGGTAGGGGCAATCAGGAAGGCAGGCAGGCAAGCAGTTTGGAGCTAGCAGTCCTGGATTGTGAGAGGAATGTCTGGCTGGGATCGGGCCTAAATGGGCAGTCGGACATCCCTCAAGGGGTCCCAGGTTGGAGAGGGTGCAGGCTAGGCTGAGGAACAAAGCTTCTGTGCACGAATTTCATGCATTGGGCCTCTAGTCCTTTTATATTATTGGCAGAGACTGTGTCATATGGTGACCCCCTATCTGAAAGGGACTGGAAATTGCATGTTGCACCAAATAATATTAAACTTTGGTTCGTAAGAGGAGAGAAAGAATATTAGGTAACCAGCAGCTCTGGTTGATCCCACTTATCTATATCTTTTCCAGCAATCTACAAAGATGAAGGCTTTTCATAGGATTCCTTGCTGGTATTCCCACCCCTCCCCCTTTGGGAACATCATCTTTAATATATATATTTTTTTAATCTTCAAAGATGATTCCCAGGAGGTTAGTAGAATGAATGGAAATGAGAGAAGCCTTCTTTCACTAAAATAACTATGACATCAACTCAAAAGAAAAATAACAAACCTTGTGCAGTTGCTCATATAAACAATAAGAGTTGAAAATTTTTTTGATCTTAATAAGAGTTTGGCAGGACAGGGTTGATAAGTGCTTCACTCCACTCTGCTGTCTCTCTTCTCTGTGCTGTGCCAGCTCCCTTCAGATCCAGACAGAAGATATGATAATGTACCATATGGAGCAAGTGGTCCCATGAGCTGTTCTTCTGTCAAATTCTCCAGCTCTGGTCCCAGATAGTGTTCTCTGAAAATATTCACACCCCTCCAAAGAGGAGGGTGACCTGTCTTGCTTCAAGATCTGCCTCTTGCTTTAGATGTGGCTGTAGCATTCCTTGTTCTTCAGCTGCTGGATGTTTCCTTCTCTCTCTCCATTCATACAGGATTCTAGAATCTACCCAATAAGACTTTTAAGCTCCAATATCAAAGGGAACAATTCAACATCAAGCATGAGTAAGCAACAACAGCAATAAAACTTGGGATCTTTTAAAAATATGAGGCCACATGGAAATGGAGTCAAGATGTAATAGTTTTAAGAAAAAGTTCTACTTAAATTCTTAGAGAGTTACTAGTAAAAACAGATATGAAAACTATTTTTAAAGGTTGGAATAAAAGGCAGTGCAAAAAGAAAAAAAGAAAAGAAAGTACAATAGCCATAATAAAACATCAATCATGCAGAAAGAAAAAAAATGACAAAACTCTGGGAAAAATAAAACAGTGAAATATAATAAACTAGTGAAATGTAACATGAACCTGGTAAAACATTCAAGATGTGAGACATGAATAGATTATGTTTAAATAACAGAGAAGGAAAAGGCCTGCAATTACAATAGGACATTTTAACCTTAAAATGAAAATACTTTCAGAATGAGAAAGATCAAATACACAGAAGGAAAAGAAAAGGACAAAATAAAAAAATTATTTTAGCATCTTGTACATATTAAGTATTTAATAAATATTTATTAAATAGTTACACTAACTCAAAAAGTCATGAAACTGAAGATGTAGAGGCTTTGCCATCCTCTAAGCCACATGTGTCAAACACAAGGCCCACGGGCCAAATCCGTCCCGCCAGGCCTTGCAATGTGGCCCGCACCGCGCTGTCATCACCGCACTCCGCTGCGTTTCCATCACAATGACAGTTTATGACTGTTCAGTAAACCATTCGGCCCGCGATTTAGGCTGGATTTTAGATTTTGGCCCCTTCTCTGATTGAGTTTGACACCCCTACTCTAAGCAAAACTGATATGCAAAAAATCAATGCCAAGATATATTTTGGAAAAAGTTTTTCAGTCAGCAAAATATAAATTAACACATCCACTCAGGAGTGAAAAATTAAAATGCATTTATATTTCTTCTCTAGGGCACTGATTAATTAATAATTTAGGATTTCAGGAGAAAAGGATAAAACATTATTGATCAGCTTCTGAAAAGCCATTCTCAACTCTTTTTGTTGGCTCCCCAGACTGTTGAGGCTGAGATGCTAAATAATTGCCCTCCCAGTCGTCCAGTTAGGAGTGGATACTGGACCTAATTCTGCTTCACCAGAAGAAAAGAGAGTTCTGCTGGGGCACTTGATTTCTGATTAAAAACAACAACAAAACAAAACAAAACAAAACAAAACAAAACAAAAAACACAATACTCAGATTTGGCTGATGTGGTTCTTTCTTCTTTGTCTTGCTTTGTAGTCATCCTTGGGATATTGAACCAGTTTCTTCAATGCTACAAAAAATATAGTGGCCCAAAACAACACAAATGTATTATCTTTCAGGTCTGGAGGTCGGAAGTG